TTTGTGTTCTTTGTTCTACGGGCAACAAACCCGGCTCTCACCATGGGTTACAAAGGGGGAACCTGGGTTCTGTGTCCTCCTCCTCCTCCCTCTCCTTTCTTTCCGTCAACCGACCTTGGTGTTCTTCAAAGTTGTTCTCCTCGGGCCCCACTCCTTTCTCCGCTGCAGGTCTCTTCTGAAGGTTCTGGAGTTCCCAGCTCTCTCTCTCTTTTTTTCAGGATGGAGCTGCAGCAGGGCTTAAGCTTAAGTTACAGCCCCAACCAGGGCCACGCCATCTGCACCTGGGGCCATGCTGGTCAGGACTGGTGCCAGAGAGAAAGGAAATGCCCTGCACCACCCTTAAATGCATGAATTCACAGGGGTGCTGATTGGCTTGGCCCTGGTCAGAGGTGGGTCTGACAAAGCAAAAGGGGGAGCTTTTCAGGTGGCTTCTTTAAAGGGCCACCTCCATAGCCCTGCCCCCCTTACCAAAGACACAACCAAAAACCCCTCACAGAAAACCCAATACAGTTACATTAGTGCAAACAAACAGAACAGCCTGTTCTTTCCATGGTTCCTTACTGTATGACAGAGGCTTCCTCTAGACTTTTGTAGGTAAATAGCTTCCACACAGAAATATGAATTAAATTATGTGCTTCCTCTCTGTTACTACACTGTCATTTAAACATCTCTTAAAAGCCATAGCCAGTTTAAAATCTGAGTTGCTAATGAGGTGTTTGGCCTCCCATGCAGAAACAGTAAAGGCAACAAACTGCCATCTCATTACCACTTCAGATTCATGGCATTTCCACCACCACTAAGTGGCAGAATTTTGACCCGATGCCATTGTCAAGCTGCCATGCAACTTCCTCAAAGAACGAAATACCCAGAAGCAAAGCATCTCTTGGCCATTCACCCCATTCTGCCATTCAGCTACCTCCTTTATCATGACGTATGGCCATCAATAAACTAATTCTGACACAGCTGTTTTCCCACTGGCCCCATTTAGTTGTTTTTAAACATTTTTTTCTGTTGCTTCTTCAGCTACATTCAGTAACTATAACAATACCTCTCCCATTCATGAACTCTGAGAAGAACTCATCCCAGGAGCTGTAACTGGGGATGCTTGGCACACTGTTGTGGAAATGGAAAAATGAAACAGCTGTATCTTTAGGGTTTCGAAACAGCACTAGTATCTGGAGTGGGAGAAAGAGGTCAGCAATTTCAGATCATTTATTTCCCCTGGCAACCAAAATGAGAGTATAACCAAACATTCTGCGACCAATAACATACTGGGGGCAATTCCCTGTCCTTCTTGAACTGAGGGGCCTAGAACTGAACACAATATTCCAAATGCAGTCTCACCAGGGCAGAGTAGAGGGGAAGGAGAACCTCTCTCGACCTACTCACCACACCCCTTCTGATACACTCCAGGATGCCATTGGCCTTCTTGGTGCCCTCAGTTCAAGGAGGACAGGGAACTGCTAGAGAGAGTCCAGCGTAGGGCTACAAAGATGATTAAGGGAGTGGAGCATCTCCCTTATGAGGAAAGGCTGAGGGAGCTGGGTCTCTTTAGTTTGCAGAAGAGGAGACTGAGGGGAGAGTTCTGAACTGGCAGAGTTCTCTTGTCTCACTGATAAATGAAAAAACTTAATAATAAAATAAATAATAAAAAGTGTTTTATTCTCACTTCTTCTGCCAAAAAGTAGTTTTGAACACTAAAAGGTCTTTTCCTTTCAGAAACATGAGCAATATTAAAAAGCAGTACAACAGACTGCTTAATTGAGATAAAGCACGACAAAAACCTGCTGCCTCTGCTTGTAGTAGAAATGCCCAATGTCCTCACACAATGTACAACCACAATCAGTTGATTTTTCTTCTTATTGTGGCAGTTACTTAGTTACAGTATCATAGACTACAGAAAGCAATTTATAATTTATTCACTGCATTTGGGGTAGGACACCAGCACCACATCATCTCTTCTGGCTTCTAGGTTCTCCAGGGCTTTGAACGTTTCTGCACTGCACACTGTGACAGGATACGGGATCCCCTGGTAGGAGAACAGCAGATCCTTCAAGGTAAGCCCTTCAGACTTCGCCAACACTTTGTTTATCTCGTCAACAAAGGTTTTTTTATCCTCAGCCATGTTTAGCACCTTTGGGGTGTTAAACTGTTGTTAGTCTAGTGCAGTAAGTGCCTTTAAATAGACATTTTAAAGGGATGGAGTAGAAAACCTTGGTATTACTTCTGCTCTCCCCTAAATGTGATATGCTTGTTTCTCTCCTTCCTTCCCACCTTTCTGGCAATGGAAGTTGGGTTAATCCTGTCCACTTAAAATCTACATAGCAGGAATTACTTTAGTAAGAAAACCCACTGAGAGCAAGTAATACTTGCAAGCTCAGTCACCAGGGAAGAGAATCAGAAAATGAATCACCCTGTAAGAATGAGCAGCAAAATATTCTATCTAATCTTACATAACATCAATAGGGGGGAAAAAAAGCACCTCACAAGAAAATAAAGTCCCTAATAAGAAAAATCCCAAGAGGTTTTATTTTGGCAATGAAGTCAGCTCCGTACTGTGAGTTAAGAGAAATAGATGGTGAATAATAGAAAACAATTAATTCAAAACCATAAAACAGGAAGAACAATACTGAGAGGGAAGGGATGCTGCCATTTTAGGTTCTTAATACCACTCTGTAGGAGCTAGCCTGCACTAATGCTTTTTCATGTTAAAAAGACAAATACTGAAATCTTGCACAGCAAAGGCTTGGGCGTACTGTGAGTTAAGAGAAATAGATGGTGAATAATAGAAAACAATTAATTCAAAACCATAAAACAGGAAGAACAATACTGAGAGGGAAGGGATGCTGCCATTTTAGGTTCTTAATACCACTCTGTAGGAGCTAGCCTGCACTAATGCTTTTTCATGTTAAAAAGACAAATACTGAAATCTTGCACAGCAAAGGCTTGGGTTTTTTCCAACATCCGCATGACAGAGCTAGGATCCCTTTTTAACAACCATGAGCCTTATGTACCTGGCTGTTTTCCCC